CCCTTGGTTGAGAGGATTAGCATGCAAATCTGTGTATTGTTCTGTTGATTCAATCTCAAACTGGTCCAGGGACCAAGATCAGATCAAACAGTTTGGAAAAAGACCTCCTGCTGTTTGGAACTCAGCCCAGCAGAGTATTCTCTTTCACAGTGAAGCAGAAGTTGCTACCTGTTTGGTATGAGAAGAAAAAAAAGAATGGACAGGGACAACAATTTGCCAAGTAAACATAAGAGGAGACAGCAAAAAAACATCATTTTGTGACAGAACGTATTAAGCTGAGTTGTCACAGGAGAAGTGTTTTAGCCAGGAATGCAACAGATTACATTTCCACACAATAAACACTTCTTAGTACCAGCTGACATTTGTTTCTACTATCTGTTCTGGTTAAGTCTTCATTAAAATCATGTCTCTGACACCCTCTCCATACCTTGTAATTCTATCAGTGACATCTAATACAACTGAAATACAGGTTCTATGCCAAAACACACATGTGTGCACATGCACACACACAGAGTGAACAATATTATACACAATGAGAAACTTTACAAAGATAGAGCTACATAATGCTAGAGAATTGTAATGATGCACAATGGGGCATGTTGTTCATCAAGACATGTTGTGTATCATTGCACAACAGGATGTTAGGATACATTGCACTACAGCCATGCTGGTGCTTCTGCAATGGTTCTGATGGTACAACAAAGTATCTCCACCCCTCTTGAAATACAAATCTTACACAATGGTGTAATTCAACTTTATATGACTGTAAGTTGGTTAACAATTATGTAAAATCAAGTGTGGTACAGTGGTTTGAGTGTTGCATTAGGACTTGGGGAGAGCATGGCTTGAATCCCTACTCAACCATGGAAACCCACTGGGTAACTTGACACTGGGTGTCCCTTTGGACAAGTCACACTCTCTCAGCCTCAGAAAGAGGCATAGGCAAACTAACCCCTTCTGAACACATTTTGCCAAGAAAACCCCATGGTAGGTTTTCCTTAGGATCATGATTAGTCAAAAATTACTTGACAGTACACAAAAATAGCAACCTTCTGAACAGAATGAAAACATCTGTTTTTATATGCACAAGTTCTTTGTCAATGTATTTATAGTCAGAATAAGAGAAGTATCAGATTAGGTCAGAGTTACTCACACTTTTTACCCATGGGGCCTCCTTTACATGCACATGCAGACATCATACATCTAGCCCCTCAACATAGTATATTAATGCAAATGTTTTGCTCATTTAGTGTTCATATTTTCAACAAAACTTTCATGTATATTCATATTTTAACATTTTATAAGGAAATAACATAGTTCAAATTAGAACAGATTGATTTAAGTAAATTTAATATTTAACTCAACACATGTAAATTTCACATATAAAACATTTAGAAAGAAGAAGAGGAGGAGGTACATCAGCTCCTCCAAGTCTTGCACCCCTCTTAAACAACTCTTGCACCCCTCCTGGGGTCCTACCCCACTGTTTGAAAATCACTGGAATAGGTGAACAGAAATTATTCTCAGAATCCTTTTAGCCATCAAAACCATTTTTTTTAAAATAAACTTGTAAATGGACACACACACAATAACTCTATGTGGGTTTGAGGAAAGCAGTCAGTTTGATAACTACCAGAGCTCAGAATGTAGGAAAGTATGTAGAAAAGGTATATTTATTTATTTTGGTATTAAGCATGAGTGACAATGCAGTTGTATCAATGTGGAGTTCACATGGCGTTACATGAAAATGAAGTTATATGAATAGGAATGAATGCTCCATACTGGTTTGATTCACATACAATGACATCTGTATGGCTTATACACTATAATTCTTTCCTCCTTTTTCTGTGTTAATATGGTAGTCAATTCTATGTTTCTAAGCAAATGATGGTTTGTAGAAACCATCATTTTGCTGATTTAAAGGTAATGGCAAAACATGGCTTATACAACTAGGGAGGGAATTGTCCAGGAAAGCTGCCAAGAGTGCTGATAACAGCTTCTTGTGAAGGTTGAAGGTAACAAAAATCTTTTGCAAATGAAAAACAAGAAAGCCAAAGCTCTGTATTACCAATCCAAAGGTCCAGCCAGAGAATAGTCAAGCAGTCTGAAGGTCTAGGATTCCAGGGAGGCAGAGTGACAAGGCAGTCCAAAGGTCAAGGATTCCAGAAGTTCAAGATACGCCAGCAGTCTGAGAGTCAGGGTTTCAGACTAAAGAACAAGGAGAGACAGAGGCTTTTACTAGGAAGCTCAGATCTCTAGCACCAAAATAGACTTTCTGTTCCTGCTTAAATTACCGAGCTGCAAGAGCTCAGCTGAGGCTGATTGCTCTGGCATTTTTCATAAAGTCTCTTCAAATGCCAAAGGCCCTCCCTTTCTGCTCAACACTGGCTGAAGGTATGTATTGTCCCTTGATCCTCCTCCATGTCTGAAGGTTCTGCTGCTGGGAGGCTTGGCTGCAGAGCCTCCTGGGAAAACACAGGGTCTGCTGGAGCTGGAAAAGCAGAACTAGGGCTGGACTGAGGCTCCACAGCTGCAGGCTTGGGTCCTAAAGAAAGTTCTGGCTCATCCTTTGAGTCCTCCTCCAGGCAGGTCATGACAGGAATAGGAAGGAACACATGAGGAGAAACCATGTAAACCTTAAGCTACCTTTAAGCAGTGTGTAACTTTTGCGATTTGAATCCTCAGTATCATAGACAGGTGTCTCCTTTTGATATAAAAAAAGACAAGTGAACTGCAATAAAGAACTGGCATTGTGATTCATCTGCCTTACTTCGCACAGCCTTTTAGCTAAAGAAATGTACAACAGGATAAAGGTTTTGGTACCTGAGACATACTATCTCTGTCTGTCTGTTTGTCTATCATCTATCATCTGTCTATCTGTTTGTCTATCTGTCTGTCT